TGAGATATTGAAGTACAGGCAAGTTATTCATCAGTTTTTTTTGAGGACGAATTGTCAAGAACATGTGAATCCGAGCAGCTCACCTAACGAGGATGCGAACTTGAGGAGTTTTCGTTGCGTGATGTCTGCTTTCCTAGATTTCTGGAGTTTCTTGGCTTGCATCGGAAACTGACCTGATTCAGGCTTCCATATGATTCCGAGAGTCTTTCCAATAGTCTGGCGTCAGTTTTGCGGTTGTCTTTATCTCTGAGGTTTTCTTCTTCGTTTTGAAGAAATTGCTGAGAATTGGACGTCCATATCATCAAAATTAATCCAGCGAGAATTAAACATGTTCTGAAGAACTGATCTCAACCTGATGGCTTCGTCGGTCATTGGAACGGCTTTGTAAAAGTAGTCAATGTAGAGATTTTTTTGGTTATTGACACTATGTAGTGTAATTCGTCGTCAATTTCCTTTTATTGCGCATCGTCTGGTAGCGTAGCGAGCAACACATGGAGAGTCGGATGCTGCAAAGATGTGTCACGTGTACTGGTATGTGAAGATATTCTAGTTGTCATCTTTAACAAAAAATATAGGTATGGTTGGTCTGCCTGAGCCACGAATAGCTGCATGAACATCGCTTCAATTTCGGATGAAATGGCAATTTGATTGGTCGCGAGACGATTCCAATGAGGTTGCAGAGAAGGTCGGTTCCGGTAAGCGTCTGCTTTTGAGGAAGGTACCTCTATAGTTTCTAGAGGCATGCAGTACTCAGCGTATTCAGCCGGATTTGCTTGTGTTTGTTAACGGGCAGTGAGGCAGGTACTTACAATTGTCGATGTCGTTGCTGTTGACTTGCTTGAGGTATCCTTTGCGTAAGCCGGTCGTGATGCATTTCTCATTTTTGCCGTGATGTTCTGGTTTGCGTTGAAGTCGGGCTAGGAGGCTGTTTAGTTGCTTGTTTAGAAGCCAGTAATAGTCTTCCAAAGTAGTCCAATCAGGTATTGACCATTGTCGAGGAAGCAAGTTGCTGTTTTGACAGCGTCTTTGCTGATTTGGAGAATGTCGTAGTCAACACGTGACATACTTCGTTTTTCCCGTGATGTTACTTTTGCACGGCAATATGGGAAAACAATTGATTGTCGTCTCCTTCATGTCGTTGGGTTTTGCTGCGCTTTCTCTGCCATATAGAAATAATACAATTGGCTTGTTCCAACCAAGGGGTACACTAGCTGCTGATTGTACTCCTTCTGTTAGTGTAAAAAAGCGGCCGAAGTCGCATCCAATGATGAGCTCAATGTCGCTCGTTGGTTACTGGGCAATGTGTATACGTCTTATTTGTTCTTTTAATAGATGCAGTTAACTAGGGCTGAGTTGAAATCTGGGAAGTTCCAATCCTTGATAACGCCAATGTCGTCTTTTTCGTATGGCTGGTTTGTGTCGTTTCAGCTTCCAGCTAAAACAGTCGTTTTGGTAAACGTACTAAAACATAAAGGTACTTCTAACTACAAGTTTGAATAGGAGGTCCTCAAGAAGTCCAGCAGGTTCCAGTAACACACAAACCAAGCAAAAAAATAAACAAGTTTAACAAAACAAACCAAATAACAGTCGAAAACCGAAAAATATTGTAGATTCGTTTCGTTTGTGGGCGCCACAGTCCAAGTCTTTATGCACGTACCTGGTTATTACGGTAAACTTCTAGGTTAACTTATCTAAAAGGCTGCAATTATGAATTAATTAGAGAAACAGTAGAAACAAGAAACAAGAACGTTTAGAAAAAGGATGAAATTTGAAATACTTAGCGTTAACGCTAGTGGACAAAATTAATAGCCAATTCTAGATTTCACTCTGTAAAATTCCTGTTTTCATTGTACATTTTGGACAAAATTTCCTTCGACATTCAGTAAAATTTTTACATTGACAGAAAGCAATGACCAGAGCTACCATCTGTGAAAGTGCCAATATATACTTTCAATGACTTACCAATGTAATCCGGGTCTGAAAATGCCAGTGTTCCTCATCTGCACTAAGTTTTTTAATTCGCTTGAATAACTAAGAAACGTCTGAGTTTAGTAAAAACAATACATACTGATAGTTTCCGTTTTCTCGTTGAAAATGTTTCACGTTGCATGAACAACTTTTTTACTCCGCTTATTCAAGAAAGATTTCACTTCGATAAGATGAGATAAGATAAGAGTACCAAAAAACGTTGTGCGCCTATACCAAACAAGACCGCGGGAAGGATTCCACGAGATGAAAAGGAAACTGGAATTGAAGTTCTAAGGAGATGACAGGTTAAGCATAGATCGATGATGGGTCACATTGGAGTCACAGAGGAAAAGCTGCTCTTTTTCTTTTTCTCTCCCCACCTGCAATTTTTTATAATTAAAATTACTGTTCGCATTGTTCGATTGTCATAAAAATTGACATGCAAATAAATTAGGCCATGGCAAAACATTTGATTTTCATAATTAACCTTGTAAAGTCTTTCGTTAGACGATAAAATTGATACTCATGTGAGGTGGGAGAGAGAGAGGGGGGGGGGGGGTGAGGAAAAAGAGCCGAGAAAGCAAGCGAGAGATAAGGCAGCAGCAGTCATACTATACATTTAAGAACAATCGGGAAGTTGTCCAATCTTATCTTCTAGGCCATCGCGTACGCAGCATGATTGACGGAAGAGAGTTTTCTGTTTCTCGTCGATGTATGACAAAAGACTTGCGCGGATAAAGTTCTTGTTTTGGAAAGCGACAATTTCCCGTCAGCTTGTAGACACTTTTTTTCATATCATGAAAAGGAAAATTGCAAAATGGGTACGACAAGATATCGCCGAGTGAACAAAAGGGAGAGTAAGAAAAAAACTCGAAATTTATTAGTCAACCTAACAACCCGAAATGAAGCAACCTCAATTGTCCATATGTATCTAGAGAGTTAATTTGAGTAAAAACCGTTATTTATTTGACAAGTAAATGTTTGCTTTTTAGTAAAACCACTATTTTTTTCCAGCAATACAACAAGTGATGAGCTTGTAAAGTTTGTTGAGTCAGGATGTAGTAAAAAATATAATATTCAAAGCTTATATTTGTTTTCCAGACTGTGGAAAGAAGACTTTCATAATGACTCACACTATGAAAAAATTGCTTGTCATGCAATTTTCATTCAATCTTTTTTAGTATAGTATGATAAACATTTTTTCCTTAAACGAAATAGTATGACAAGCATTTTTTGGCAACCCGAAAGACTTTGGGAAAATTATGAATGACTGAAACTTGAGATTGATGATTCTTGGATATCATATTCTTGTCTTAAAGCAGTAAACAATTTCTACATAAGATTCATTATCAAGTATATTGAGAATCATTCTGCAGGGTTTCAACTCTCAGATGCTTTTACCAAAAGTGATTCATTTTGAAATGTTAAAGAATATTGTAATTCACTCCAAGTAAATTGAAGAAAGGTTCAGCGCTGTAAAAACTAAGAAATACCAATTGAAAATTTCAAAAAACCATAAAGCCAAAATTGACATTTTTTGGCATGGAACTGGTAAGAAACTGGTTCGTAGAAAAACATTAACCACTAGAAAAACAGTTTAGTATGTTAGCTTTTCTTTTGAAAATTTGGCTCTTTTAACTCCCCCCCCCCCCCCCCCCACCACCTCACACGACCACGACCATCAATTTTATGATGTAACGAGTAGATTTACAAGGTTAATTTTGAAGACTAAATATGTTTGGCACAGGTTATTCAGTCCGCATGTTAATTTTTATCACGATCGGACAATACGAACAGTAAATTTACTACTAAAAAATTGCAGGTGGGGGGAAGGAAAAAGAGCCGATAATTTAAATTAAAATGATTTCTCAAAACTTACAAGTGTTACTTTTGGTTTAAATAATTTTGTTCGAGCTCTTCACGTCATCCATGTTTGTACCATTATGAAACTCAAGACTCGCCAATTCCAGCGCCCGTCAAAAACTGCATTTTTCAAACTTAAGGACTCTTATTCTCATTCTCGCGGATTTTCATGCAGAAAGGTGCTTTAAGGAAAACTACGATCAATCCCGGACGAACATAGATCTTTACTATATTTAGTAGTACGAAGCGGTTTTTTAAAGTGACCACAATTGTAACAATTTGTATCTTTTTTTCCTTTGCACAATTTCAAATATTTTTTATACAGATGGAGCTGAGATAATTCCAAACAGTTAAACGTGATAAACAGTCTAGTGGTTGCTAGTTTGGCCATTTTTTGCGGGTTTCAATAAAGCAAAATTTTGAATATCTCGAATTTTCAACCATGTTCACGTTTGAACTAAAACTCTCTTCATGGTATCTGAACTTTGTCTATCAAATGAGAATCTTACCATATCATGTCGAGATTTCAAGAAGAGTTTAAACCGCAAAGTGGATCATAAATGTGTAAGAGGCTTAAAAAGAAGCTCCAAAACAAAGGCACTTTTAACAAACTTAGAAATTCTGGGCGACCAAAAAAAATCACGGAAATTTTAATTATGTCTTAAGTCTAAAGCGCATTGAACTATCGATTCTGAAGGTAGAAGAAAACTGGAAATCACATTGAACCCTTTTTGTGAGTGAAAAAAATCGCCGAAGTTTTAGATGGACTCTACGTTCTAATATTTGTTGAAATTGTATCACTATTTAGATGATTCAGCTTCGTTTTGTCTCATATCATAAACCTCATATAACATTTGAGCTTCGTAGCATTATTATTTGAGATGTTATAGGTGTTTAAACTGTAGAAGTATTTGAGATGTTATAGGCGTTATAGAAGTTAGTAATATAATTTAAAAAGTCATATAAATAACAATAATATAAAAATGTGCCGAAGCAAAATCCAAACACGAAGCATTTCAAATAATGTTTTGAGTAATTTTTTGTTTCCAGCTCTTAGTTGTCATTAAAATTTCATCAGGTAATAGCAGTTAAAACTTTACATATTCTGCTCGATCCAATCGAGGTAAGATGAAACACGAGTGTACACTCCCTTTCCATTGCATTTTTCTCTACCGTAGCTCAATATTCCATAGAGGCACTGGGGACCCTCGCTGTGTCAAAGGGTATGCAGGTCCTCCCGAGTCTCCACCACAAGTTGAGGCCCTGTTTTTATCTTCTACTAGACAAACTTTATTGTTTGAAGGACAATATTTATCATTTATTTCTCGCACTTTCATTTCCTGAAGCACCTTGGGGTGCTGTCTCGGAGAAATGGTCGTATAGCCGAATCCGCAGACAGCAATTAAACTATGTTCATAGTGTGCGGAACAGAGTGGAAGTACTCGGCTGCTGGATACATTCTTTGAAAGATACACCATCGCTATATCGTTATCCGCTCGCCCATTGACCATTCTACCAAATTCGGGATGCATTTTCACCGTGCTGTGAATATCTATTGGATATAGTCCACCTGGTGGCGCTGGCCGAGTAAAGTCCCCAAGGCCGACCGTAACTTTTTCCACTAAAATGCTTGCAATGATCAACAAGAATAATCGGTTGTTGTGCAAGTAGCCTAGAATGTTCCGACCATATTGTTAAAAAGCTACAAAAAAAAGATTTTTTTTAAAAACTCTTTTTCAATTTTTTGTGCGGGGTGTGATGAAGGATCTGAAAAAAAGACTAGGTTTTCGGCTTTTTCAATTTTCTTATTAAATTAGGCGTATTAGATAATAGTTTTCTTTTAAAATGACTAAAAAACAAAAAAAAAGAGCCATATATAAGGGAAAACAAAATAGGGCTCTTTTTCTTTTCATCACATGCAAAATTTTTTTGAAATGAATTTTCGCTCACAATTTTCAATTGCTACAAATTTTGGCTCATTATGCCGTGACAAACATACTTGGTTTTCAAAGTTGATCTTGTGATACCCAGGGTTACACCAAAAAAATGATGCTTATATGAGGTGAGGGAAAAAGAAAAAGAGCCCAAAACAATAATTTGATATAATAAAAAAATTGTCCGACATTCGAAGAAAGTAGCGGAAAAATTGTGCTCGGTTTGATTGGTTGTCTCCCGTCAAATTTCGCGTTTTTAACCGGCAGTTTTCGATGATGTCTTTTTTATCATTCGAAAACTACTGCTGTTCTGAACTCAAACTAAAATAATCTTCCTTTTATTTTTTTGAGAAACTATGGTGGTTTAACGATTTCCAATTCTGCCTGTTTAGAACATTAACTCGCGATATAATTCGTGCTGTTGACGCATTAGCGGTTAGATTCAATTCGCGCATGGGGTGATACGAGCAACCTTGTTGATCGTCCATTAATTTTTTTGAAAGCCAAAAACTCTCTATTGACCTTAAAAGGATTTCGCATACAAACTACACTGTAATTGCGAGAATGCCATGGAACTTTGCAGCTCGTTTTCAGGAGCTTCTAAATTGTCCATTTTACATCATAGTTAAGTTTCTGAGCAATTAATTCATTTTTTAAAACTATTTAGTTAACTATACAACACTAATAAAAGTTGCCAGAGATACAAAATAAACCATTGTAAGCCTTCGTCAGATGAAAATCACAATAATAACTCACAAGCTGAAGCGAGTTTATGAGATAAACTGTAGCGGCGAAAAAGACTACAACACTTGATGGTGATTGAAAATCACGCCCTAACAAGTCACTTGCAATTTACTTTTCACTTAAAACCACAAGCTGTCTTTCTTTATTACGTAATAAATGAACTGCTATAAACCCAAGGTTTGCAAAAAAGTTGCTCCAATGAATGATTCAAAAATATAAAAAATTTTCTGTATTTCCAATTTTCAAATAAACTGAATAAGTAAAACAAACAACGAGATTTTTTTCTCGTCAGGATAAATATTTTTGAATGAGAATAAAGTTTTTCGAGATAAGGGACAATGAAAATTTCAAATTCGATAAAAAAATTAATGATTTGGTATTTTGTTTATGCAAGAAATTTAGCTTATGCAAGAAATATAGCCTATGCAAGAAATCATACTGTACTTTAAAATACATGGGGGTTATTTTAGCGAAAACTATAAAAAAAAAATTTCATTACGAGGCCAAACTGTGCACTGGATAGGCGCTCAATTTTGTGTCACAGGAGCGTCCTTATTGCAGAAACCGCTTACAATTCACAAAACGCACATTTTGGCCCTATATAGTTTGCTATTCTTTTTTGAAGCTCTCATCGAAAGTTATTCAGCATCGTCTCCAATCTGTTTATGGCTGATTGCGTTTTGCGCCATGAACGTCTGTAAAAAATCTACCCATCACTCTGCTTATGAAAATCGATACAGCAAAAATATATTTTGCTACAAAATCAGCAGTGGTAGTATATAAGAATGTAAATTCGCTAAAAACATAAATCAAAGTGCAAAAAATTAACCTAATTATACTTGTTAGTAGAAAGTTACCACTCAATAACATAGCCAATAGAAAATTGAAACAGAGCTAATGCTTTCAACAAAACCGAAACAAAAATCAAAAACGTCCCTCAAAGGTTTTTCAATTTTTGATTATCTCATAAAAAGATATGACATGGAACGGTCAAGAAAAATTTATAAGTGACTCATTCTATGATTTCAGAAAACTAACCCAACCGTACGCAGGCAAGATCTGAAATTCTCTATTTCATATCTGGATAAAAAAATTTGAAATTTTCAGGTCTGAAATTTGGATCTGAAATAAAAATTTTCAGATCTGAAATAAACTTCAAGAACAAAATTTCAGATCTGAAATTAAATCTGAGAAACTTTTTTCCCCATTGTAATTTATAAATTTCGAGCAAACAGTTAGTTTTTATTTCTTGATGCTTCTGCATAACAACAATTATGTTTAGATTAACTAAGGGTAGAAAACAAATTGCGAGTATTTTCACAAAAAGTTTTTTTCGAACTAAACTTCGTGATCAACTGTGATATAGAAATTTTCAAAACGTGTTAGGAGATCTATCAATTTTTCGACAATAATGCGCTACTTATGCGCTTTCAATGTTATCTTATACTTGGGGAAACAAATTTTGGCAGTCTCCCAACGGAGACTTTGATGAGTTCTTGCCATTAGCTAGCAGAAGCCATCAAATACAAGACTATTGAAAAGGACAAAAATTGCGTCAAAATTGTTGATTTTTCAGATCTGAACTAACCAAGAAAAACAAAATTTCAGATCTGAAATTAGATCTTAAATAACCCATTCATAATTTTTCCAAGCGTTATTTTAACATTTCACAACCCATTTCAAATCTGAAGTTTAGATCTGAAAAAGATTATTTCAGATCTGAATTAGAACATTTACTAGGTACGGGTAATCAGAAGAAACACCACAAATGATATTCCTGTATAAGCGCTGAAATTTTGGATATATGAAATGTGTTTTTTTCTGCGGTTTTTTTTGTAAGAGCATAATTTTTTCACCTTTTTAACAATTTAATTTTTAATGAAATAAAAGAAAATTCGGAAGTCAAAACTGCGGAGACTCAAAACTGAGCGTAACAAAAAAAAATACGACGAATATCGTTTCTTTGTTCATTGAAAATCAGAACCCATTCACTTTTTTGCAACAAACTGATAAAATCCAATAAGATCCTATTAAAATGGTTTCAAGCAGTTGAAGCTTTATGTTATTTCGGTTCAAGTGTTGCCAATATCAAAAGCCAAACAAATCTCAACTATTTGAAAGTTTCAAGGCTGAACTGGTGATCATGTTTACTGATCTCATTTATTATTACATTACCTGCCCGTACCTAGTAAAGGTTCTTATTCAGATCTGGAATAATCTTTTTCAGATTTAAATTTCAGATCTGCAATGGGTTGTGAAATGTTAAAATAACGCTTGAATAAATTAGGTATGGGTTATTTCAGATCTAATTTCAGATCTGAAATTTTGTTTTTTTTTGGTTATTTCACATCTGAAAAAATATATTTCAGATCTAATTTCAGATCTTAAACTTTGTTTTTCTTGGTTAGTTCAGATCTCAAATATCAAGGGTTTTGACACAACTTTTGCTATTATTGATACTTTTGTGTTTGATAGCCTCTGCTAGCTACTAGCAGGTACTCAGCAAAATTTACAATAGGAAACTGCCAAAATATGTTTCCCCAAGCTGGAGATAAACATTGGAAACGCATAAAGAGCGCATGACAATCAAAAAATTGATAGGTTTCTAACAATTTTTGAAATTTTTTTTTGCAGTTGGTCAAAAAGTTTTTTCGAAAAAAAAACTCTTTGTGAAGTTATTCGGAAAATTTTTTCTACCGCTAGTTAATTTAATCATAATTGTGTATTGCAGAAGCATCAAAAAGAAAAAACTCAATTAATGGTTTCAAATGCAACAAAGGGTTTCTCAGATCTAATTTCAGATCTGAAATTTTGTTTTTCAGTTCTATTTCAGATCTGAAATTTTCTATTTCAGATCCAAATTTCAGATTTAAGGTTTTTAAATTTTTATCAAGATATCGAATAAGGAATTTCAGATCTGAGAATCAACTAATGTAAGACTTAAAGAATTTCAGATCTTGGACAAAAAAATCCCCTGGGTACGGGTGAAACTTTTTCTCAAGCTGTATTGATTTAACGCATTTACTACTGCAATTTCGTGCACTAGTGGCGAGATGAACTGTGAACAGTTCTCCAGTGTCAAATTAGAAAAATTTATTTCAGAATTAAATGAAGTTTAGAATCGGAAGTTTCAGAATTAAAGGATGTTTAGAATTTACTTTGCTTGTTTTGTTCATTAGTGATTTGTTCAGAAGATACATGATTATTTAAAATAATTCGAAAGACAATTACATTTTCATTTTAATTAGTTGCGTGACCACTCTTTTTTTATAGCACTTGATAGCATTTTTTGCCGCTTTTAAGCACAGCGGAGCGAACGTGTCAGCGTGAACAGGTGAACCAACTTTTACATTAGACAAATGCACAAAATTCCGTGTGAACACTTTCTGAAAAGTTTTAGTTAGTAATTTTACGAGGGAGTGGGATACTGGAAAATAATCGTGTACAATTTTTTACTGCCTTATCGATGTTTGCCGCTTGTAACGAGTTGTCACCTTTTTCAAATTGACACTTGATACGAAATGCAGCCCTTTACGAAGATTTGTCGCTGTTTGCGATTTATCGTCCTTTGTGGATTATCGTTTGTTACGAGCTATCACCTTTACGAATTAGCGTTTAGGACGAGTTGTCGCCCTGTACGAGCAATTGTCGCTGGTAACGAGCTGTCCCTCTTTACGAATTGTCGTCTGCTATGAATTGTCGACTGTTGTGAATTGCCACTTTTTTTTTTACTTTTAGCTGTTTACGAACGGTCACCTGTTACGAGTTGTCGTCCGTTAAAAACAGTCGTATTACTGTCTGAACGCATTGTAATCAAAGAAAACATATCGTGA